TTTTCATCTCTAATAGTATTGATTTGGGTTCTTTCTTTCATCAAATTATCATTCTTATCTATCTTTTCAAAGAGCCAACTCAGTTACATTTATTCTTTGTATTGTTTTCTCATTCTCAATTTTATTAATTTCAGTTCTAATATTATTTCCTGTCTTCTACTAATTGTGAAAATTGTTTGTTCTTCTTCTTTGTGTCTTAAGGTGTAGCATTAGATTAGTTATTTGTGATCTTTCTGGGTTTGTTTTCAGTGTTGTTATTCAGTGCTATAAACTTTCATCTGATAATGTCTTCATACTATCCCAGAGATTTTGATATGTTGCATCATTATTATTACTTTTTTCTAAAAATTTTTTATTTCTTCTCTCATTATTTCTACGACCCATTTCCCATTTAAGATTTTTGTTCCAGTCTCTGTGTATTTGTACCATTTGTATTATTTTCTTGAGATTGATTTCTAATTTCATTCCATTATAATCTGATAAGATGCATGAAATAATTTCATTTATTTTGTATTTGCTGAGACTTACACTGTGACCTAGAATATGGTGTATTTTGGAAAAGATTTCTTGAGCTGCTGAGAAAAAAGTATAGTTAGCTGGTTTTGGGTGAAATATTCTGTAGAAGTCTGTAGGTCCACATGATTTATAGTATTATTTAGGTTGGAAGCATCTTTATTGAATGAACTCTACATTGGTGAAAGGGGTGTGTTGAAATTACCCAGTATTATTTTATTAAGTTTTATCTGGGATTTAATGTCAAAAAGTTTTATTTATTTATATAATGTAATTAAGTGTACTAACATTTGAGGCATAAATATTTTCTATATTTATATCTTCATGTTGGATTTTTTCTCTACCAGTATGTAATGACCATTTTATCTCTTATCATTAATTTTTCACTTTAAATCTACTTGATCAAATATAGGAATAGCTACTCCTGCTTATTTTCAGACTCCATTTATGTGGAATTTTTTCCCCCATAATTTTGCTTTCATTCAGTGGATGTATTTGTCTATGAGTCCCTTGTCAACAGTATACAATTGGATCTTATTTTTTTAATTTATTCTTCCAGTATATGTCTTTTAATTCAGAAATTGAGACCATTTACATTCAGTATCATTTTGGATAGAAACTTGTTATTCTGGCCATTTTGGTTTGTTTGTTATATTTAATTCAATCTTATACTTAGTTAATTATTTTTTTAGAGAGCTTCCTGATTTGGGAGCTTTGAGGTTTGTTTTTGAGTTTTTTTCTGTGTGTAGTATATCTTTAAATACTTTTTGTAGTACTGGCTTAGTGGTCATGAATCCTTTTAGTTTATCCTTATGGAAACATTTTCATTCTTTTCAAATTCTGAAAGATAGCTTTGCTAGATATGGTAAAAATTGGCTGGCAATTATTTTCAAAGCCTGGAATATTTCATTCTGAGCCCTTCTTGATTTTAGTGTCTGGGTTGAGAATTAAGAAGTGAACTTGATGCTTTCTCATATAGCTTTTATTTATACCTTATTTCCACATTTTCTTGGTAAAGCATTTTTATTATGATGTGTCTTAGAAAGTTTTTTATAATCTTGTCTATTTGGGGTTATATTTGCAGCCTATATGTGGTTGTCTATCTTATTTCTAAGGTTACTAATTTTTTTCTGCTATTATTTCACTGAAAAGATTCTTAATGGTATTAGTCTTGTATTTCCATGCTCTCTTCTATCCCAATGACTGTCAAATTTGGACTCTTGATATTGTCCCAGAGTTTTTGTATACTGAATATGTTTTCTTTTCTTTTTTTTTTAAATCAAATACTGAGTATTCAAGCTCTCATACTCTGTCTTCAGCATCTGAAATTCTGTTCTCTACATAATCTAATTTTGGGTGATAATCTCAGGTAAATTTTTTGAGCATTGTATCATTCATTTGCAGAGTTCTTATTGATTTCTTTTCAATATCTCTACTTCTTTATTGAAATAGTCTTTCACCTCCTATATTTGCTCTCTGATTTTATTTCTTAGATCTTCTTGTAGTGCTTTGAATATTTTAATAATCAGTTTTTTGTAATAATTCTCTAAAATTTTATTTACTTCCATATCTGTGGGTTCCTGTGTTGGGGGATTGTAATTTTGGCAAGAAGACTTTTTTTTTTCCTGTTTTCTCATGTTTTCAGAGGAATTAGACTTACAAACCTGTTTTAATGGATTCCTCTTACTCTTTTATCTTTGTTTCCTTTGGTATACACCCCCACCCTTAGGACCATGCTTTGCTTTTGATGTATAAGTAGATTTACAGGAGTAGGAGTTGTTCCTCTTTGGGGTCTGGTTGTTGGTTTGAGGCTTTGTCTCTCCTATTCCGTGTGTTAAAGTATTGTTGGAGCTTCTGTGGGACTAGTTCATAAAGTGAGGTTCACCATCTGAGTTGTGAGTATGCATCAGAAGCAGAATCTCTCTCATGGTTGAGGCTGTGCTACCCTGCAGTTACTCCTCAGGTCATGAGTTGGCTGATACCATCTCCCCACACCACACTTCATGTCCTGTCCCCATTTCTGTTTTGGGGTGAGGGCTGCTTATGTATTCTCAAGGTTTGGGCAAAACTGTGTAGTCAGTGTGCCAGCCAGCAAGGAAGTGGTACACAGACACTCAGGTGCTATTCTATGCACACATTTTTATACTATGAATAATTTTTCGTGTGTGTGCGTGTGTGTGTATATAATTTATAATTTGGAAATTATTTTGTATTGATTAAAGCAGACATTTTGTATCATCCACCACTAAAATAAAATATGTTCAGTATTAATAAATGAAAAATTTGAAAATCCTAAGAAATGTCTGGCCATAATATTTACAATGTGTTTTAGTCAGCTTTTTCACTGCTACACTTAAAAGATCTGACGAGCACAATTGTAGAGGAGGAAAAGTTTATTTATTTGAGGGCTCAGAGATTCAGCAGTCTTAGCATATAGAAGGCCAGCTCTATTCCTAGGGGCTTAATGTCAGGCAGAACATCATGGTGGAAAGGTGTGGTGGAGGGAAGCAAGCACCTCACACAATGGTGATCAGGAAGCAGAGACTCCATTCCCCAGATACAAAATATACACTCCCTAGCCAAACTCTGAGTGAGCCACTTTCTCCGTCTATATCCCACCTACCTCCAGTTACCACTCAGTTAATCCCCATCAGGGATTAATTCGCTGATTAGGTAAAGATCCTCACAACCCAATCTTCTCCTCTGAACCTTTTTGCATTGTCTCACACGTGAGCTTTTGGGGGGACATCCCACATCCAAACCATAGCACAATGATATTTACTATAATGTGAGTAAATATCACAGATACTTGACTACCTTCTAAGATTCAGTAGCCCTTGGTTTTTTAAATAGTACTCTTGTGTGATAGCATGAAACAACTGTTAGCTAATGCTATTCTTCTGGATGAACCACCTAGTAAATCATCTAGACTTTGTGGTCATATAATTCCTGGTACAACTATTTGACTCAGTTAATGTAGGGCAATTGTCTGCCCTACAAGTGGACTTGACTGTTTTTCAATGAAACTGTATATGAATGCTAAAATTTGAGTTTATGAAATTTTTGCTTGTCACTAAATATTATTACTATTTTGATTTCTTTTCAACTTTTTAATAATATACAAACCATTCTTATCCCACAGATTAAACAAAAATGGGTGGCCAAAATAAAGTTATAACCCACAGATGTGGTTTACAAGCTCCTGTTATAAATTATCTGGCACCTAAATCCTTCTTCTGTGCTCCATGGATTTACACTATTTCTAAATATCTTTGCTTGCTAGTCTTTCTTTTGTGAAAACGAAGTGTACGCTCCAGGAACTTTAACCTGTGTACTTTAGATTATACCATCTGAACTAGACTAGAACTGAATCACTTTCTTTTTCCAAGGTCACATAAAGCCTCTTTCACTCTCTTCGGTTTCTCTGCTTCCTAAATACTCTCTAGGTTCTTAGGTTCTATGATTGCTCTCCTACTTTTACCTTAAATTTTGAATTATTGTTTGTAAAGTGAACACAAGCCAAACAGACATTGAACTATTGTCACCTACTGGAGTGATCAATAGAATGTCTACAACTAAATGTCTTTGTATTAGGAAATGAAATTGTCAGGGTGAACATTGTTGTTTTGTTTTGATGGTTTTTATTTGTTGAAATGTGACTGACCTCATTTTAACAATGCCCTCTTATAAATGACTCAAAATCCTTTTGTTACTTCCTGTCATCATTAGTGGTTAATTCAGACATATAATTGCACATAGTCACACATTTTTATTTGGTACCTAATATCTATAAACTACCCTTGCCAGGTGTTTATTGAGAGAAAATAACCAATATGGACAGTATTTTAAAAATGAAAAATTAGATAGAACCATAAATCTGAGAGTATGATCATGCAAAACTAATCAGAAAATAGGTTATGAAATTTAAACAGTTCATCGTCACTTTCCAAATGACTTTATTCAGAGCATTCTTTACCCCCAATCATCCTGATATAATTTTAATCATATTTCTTCACCTGATTGACTTAGATTGTGCTTTATTCAGTCCAATGGATGAAAGAACCAGATATAATCTTAAAGAAACATGAGATAATGAAATTTAAAAGCAGCACTATATTTTTCTAGATGAAGGTATGGTTTAACTTCTAAAATATTAATTCTGTTGATATTAAAATTTGTGTTTATTTCTCCCATGTAGCTGGAACTATTACTTTGACCAGTAACTTCTAGGGAAACTCACTCAATAGTAATGTATATTTCAAAATAACTGAAGAAATTTCAAAGTATGTCAAGTAAGAGAGGTTATCAAAATGTTAATTAAATTGGCTTAATTAATTCAATTTCTATATGTATCAAAACATCACACTGTGCACCATAAATCTAATAAAATTATCATTTGTCAATTTAAAATAATATGATTTTTTTAAAGCTGTATTTAACAGAACCATCTTAACATAAAAAGCTGACTTTTATCTTGTACCTTTCAGGTTCTGGGTTGAATGATGGTCAGTGGCATGAGGTTCGTTTTCTAGCCAAGGAAAACTTCGCTATTCTCACCATTGATGGGGATGAAGCATCAGCTGTTCGAACAAATAGTCCTCTTCAAGTTAAAACTGGAGAGAAATACTTCTTTGGAGGTAAGAACGCCATCCTTTACTGGTTAACCAATACTGTGCTAAAATAAGGCAAGTTTCAAGATGAACTCAGCAGATCTCGGGATAATGAGTCTTTCCATTAGATATTGTTTTCCTCATCCAAACTCGTGCAATGTGAAATCTAAGAAAACATATCACATCCTCAGAAAAGACTTTGGTTTTAGTTTTAAAATATACATGTGTACATATATTTGTCTCTGAAAATATTCCTGTTAATATTCATATATCTACTTATTTGCTTATGTAAGTATATATTTGAATATAACTATGTGCATCTCTTTTTTTTCTAGTTATTAAAGTAAGCATACATAAGAGCAATTACCTTGTCTGTCTTGTTTCCTGCTATGTCCCCCAGGGTCCTAGAAAAATTCCTGGAATATAAGATAGGAGTAATAAATATTTATGAATGAATTAGCAAGCAGTATAAAATATACAGGACAAGCCTTTTTTTTTTTTTTCCAAAATTGTCTAAAAGTAGAATCAGAAGCCCTAGGAGCTTTACTAACGTTCCACTGAGTTTGCACCCAGCTCAGACCTCTCTCTGATGCCTGTACAGGGCCAATATTTCTTTCTTATGGGTGCTATCTTAAAAAATAGAGTCCTGAACTAGTCCTGCACAATGTTTGTTGGAACCAAAAACGGCATGATTTTGTAAACTTTGATATCTTATGAGTGAACAAACTAATGTTTCTGATCTACTAGGTCTGATGGATAGGAGAAAAAAGCAACTAAAGTGCCAAACTGGTTTTCTCCAAAAAGTTATTTGACACCATGGGCTTTTGGCCAAGAGTTCTCCTTGCAGTTGTAGAGGATTGTCCTTTGAGAAGCTGCTAGCAATCTCTGCTTGTCTCTGGCCATTGACCACGGATGGGATCGCTGAATGCCTGTGGTGGTTTTCATCTGTCTTGATCTAGACGGGTAGGCAAATAGCTGTAGCCACATGTCTGTGGCCAAAAGTTCACAGGATGCAAGGGTTTTATGGTCTCCTATTTCTTATTGCTTGACGGACTTTGCTTTCTAAATCCAGAAGTCAGGAGAACATTGGCTTGCTCTTGGGTCTTTGGTCTGCCTCCGGGACATGCTGTCAGCAAACGTTCCTGATGTTTCTGTGGTTATATCTTCGTTGGCTGGATCCTCAGAGTGTAGAGAATCCCAGGGGAACTCGTTACAATTCAGATTCTCAGGCCTTACTACTACTGGAGCTTTAAAAGATGCTGAGAAATTGAAGAATTCCAGATTCTAAGCGATTCTGACACAAAAGATCTGAAGAGCAGACTGACAGGCACATTTGAAATTCATAGACATATCTTTAGATTCTTTTTTGAAAGAGAATGATAATCCCTGTAAAGTTTGAGATGCTTGCGAATCACCCACTCTCCCACAGCTTTGTTACCAGGAGCAGCAAGGGGAAGAGCCAGGCTGCCCTTGTCCATGTACAGACTTTGATCAGGTCCACATTCACCAGAAGACCCACAGCACTCTTAACGCACTGTCCTGCAAACCCGATGAAGTCTAAGCTCTCTGACTTGCTGCCCTTCAGTAAAATGTTCTCTTGCAGCAGCGACACTGGGCAGTGGGATTCAGAGCCAGTGCCAGGCAACAGAAAGCCTCAAAAGCAAAAACCTGACACCAAATCTCTCAGAGATCCCAACTCCAGAACCATTTCTAAGGGCTCAGGTCATAGGCCTCACTGGGTCCTTGGAACCATCTTCATATAAGGTGAGGTGTCTCTAAGAGATGTTTTGCAAATGACATATCATTAATATGTATGATTTCGCCATTGAGACATCCTTTTCCGCATTTATCTAACATTTATGCCAATTGCACGCCATCAATATCATGAAAGAAAATCTGATTTGGCATTGAATAAATCAGTCAGAAGAATACACGGCAGAAACCTTTGGTGTAGGCAGCTCCAGAATGACCGAAATGTTTCTGATCTAATACTGGTGACCCTTCCGCACGTGGCTTCCTGATTAGAATATGTGCTGCCTGTGGATTCACACACACACACACACACACACACACACACACACACACACACAACTGCATACTGTCCATGCTGAAAATTTTCTAAGTTGTAAACCTTGTCACGAACATATCTTAATACTAGGGCAGAAGGACTATCTGTGTTCTAGAACACAAGCTTTGGAATCATGCACACCTCATTTTGGATCGTAGCTTTGGTGCTCAGGTGCCGTCAGCCTTTGATAACTTATCTTACTTTCTTCATCTGTCAAATGCCAGTATAATCTCTTCTGTGAACCTGGCATAACATACCCTCTGTAACCCAGGGTCTGGCCCTAGGACATGGTAATGCTGGCCATCTCCTGGTCTCTCCATTTTGTCTCAAGTCATTTTGGAAGCTCATTCAGAGACAGGAAGATTTGAGATTTCAGGCCATTACTCATCTAAAGACCCCTGATCAGCTCTTGTGCTACTGGAAGTATTTCTTTCTCCTCAGTCTCAAAAAAAAAAAAAAAGAAATGGTTTTCCTTCTCTAAAGCCTTAAGTAAAGGCTTGTGGAGCTCAGTTTCCCATCAAAAGCCCTAAACCTGTCCTCACTCTGTCACTTTTGAAGCCAAGTTCCACTTGAGCATCTTTGTCTGCACCTGCAAACTCACTTTCTCACCAGGGGGTAGTGGTACCCCTCTCTCAGTGTTTCCTGAGAATCCCAGGGAAGGTCTCCATTCTCTGTAATAACATTCCCAATTGGATTTTTTAAGCACCAAAGATTCTTTCGCTTTGTTCTTGAGAATAGGCAGAATAGGAGATAGGCCAGGTCCCATGATTGTTAGAGAAAGGTTTTTAAACTTGTAGCACTTCCTAGGTTTGCTGTTTTTATTATCCCCTTTGTTTTCACTTAAAAGAAAACATAGCAAGGGTAAGAAAGTTCTAGAGTTGGTCTTATAGGAAGGGGAGCGCTATGGAACAGGGGATGGAGAGAGACAGCCCTCAAGAAGGTGCCAAGGCAGGTGGCCAGAGAGAAGAGACCACTGGGAACCAGCCGGAGCGTGACAAGAATAGGGATGGTGCCATCTAGTAGAGGGCACACCCCTTCCAGCTACTAGTCCAGACTCATCAATATAGAGCTGCCTCGTGAGCCCTGGCCACTGGGACAACCCCACAGGGCGAATGGCTTACACCTTGAAAGTGCATCTCCTACAGTTCTGGAGGCTGGAAATCCAAGATCAAGGCGCCAGCAGATTGAGTATCTATTGAGACACTCTTCCTGGATTTCAGAATGCCGTTTTCTCACTTTATCTTCACATCATGCAGGTGGGGTGGAGAGAGAGACAAAGAGGACTCCAGCATTCTCTCTGTCCTCCTGGGGGCTCTGATCCCATTGTGAGGACCTCACCCTCCTCATACCATCACATTGGGGGTTGGGTTTCCGTATATGGATTTTGGGGAATACAAACACGTGGTCTATCACAATAGCCTTTCCATGATCATTGAAATAGAGCATGGATTTAAATAGCTAAGTGGACAGACATGCAAATATGCATCTACATAAAGTTGTTTTACATTAAAGCTGTTAGGAAGTTGGTTTCCAGTTGTGGAGTTCTGTTGAGAGCCACAGTCAAGTCGGGATGGCGCCTGGCATTTTGCCAGAAAGAGTGGTTGGGAGGTGTCGCCAGTGAGACATTGGGATGATGGTGATTAAGTTAAGTTGTGTATAATTATTGGGATGGTGACTGATTGCTGTAACTGGATGATGCTGGATTGGGGCAAGCTGTGTATTCAGTTGTGTATGTGGACCTCTGCTGTCCGGCAGTGGGGCGGCTCCTGCTACCTTGGGTGCCCGCTACTTTTGAGTTCTCACGGAGTTCCTGTTGAGTTCCCGTTGGTTCTTGCGGAGTTTCCGTGGAGTCTGAGAGCGTTCTGGGGGGGGGTTCTGGCAATAAAGTAGTTCCTGTTTGAACCTACAAGTGGCTGATGACCTCCCGGTTATTTTTGTGCCCAGCCAGACTGCGGCAGAGTTCCTTTTCTGCTTATTATTGGGCTATGCAGACCATCCTACACAAATTTGAATGTCTAAAAGCTTCCGTAAGAGTCTAACACACTCTGGGTTAGCCATAGATTGTCAGGGATCCCCGGCTGCAGAGGCCATGGACAGAGGGCTTACCAGACCTCACAGCTCCAGGTTTGGGATCCACTCTTCAGGCTTCTAAAGGGCCAGGTTGCCTGTTGTCATTCTGCAGTTTGTTTTCTAGCTCCTTTTGCTGCTCTTCAAATGTTAGGGAGCAAAGTGTTTTATTGATTGATATCATATGAAAAAGGACATATCTTTTTAAGGGTAGAAAAAGTAATCCTAAACAAACTTGCTTGAGGCATGTCTTCAGTTTTCTAAACATGCCATAACAGAGAACCACAAACTAATGGTTTAAAACAATAGAAATTTTTCTCTCTCACAGTCCTAGTTACTGTTTGGATGTGAAATGTCCCCAAAATCTCCCGTGTGAGACCATTCAAGAAGGTTTAGAGGCGAAATGATTGGGTTGTGAGAGCCTTGACCACTGAACTAATCCCCTGACGGGGTTAAATGAATGGTGACTGAAGGCAGGTGGGGTGTGGCTGGAGGAGATGGCATTCAGGGAGTGTGGCTTTGGGATATATGTTTTGTATCTGGCAAGTGGAGCCTGTGCTTTCTGATTGTGATGTGAGCCACCTCCCTCCACTACACTCTTCCTCCATGGTGTTCGACCTCACTTTGAACCCCAGAGAATGGAGCCAGATGTCCATGACTTAGAAACCTGAGCCCCCAAATAAACTTTTCCTCCTCTTCAAATGTCTTTTAGTCACAGCAGTGAACAAGCTGACTGCCACAGTCCTGGATGGTCCAAGTCCAGAACAAGTGGCCGCAGGGCTGCACTCTGCCTGGAGGCTCTGAGAAGGGACCTTTGGCATGGCTCCTGGTGGCTCCTTGGGGCTGGCGGCACTCCTGGGCATCCCTTGGCCTACAGATGCTTGCTTCAGTGGCTGCCTCCAACTGCACATTGTCTTCTCCTCTCCCTCTCTGTCCACATTCCCCTCTTCTGACAAGGACACTGCTGTAGATTAGGGTCCACCCTAATCAGTGTCACCCTGTCACCACTGGCTACCTCTGCACCATAGCTAGGTCCCAGTTAGGCCCCACCCGCAGGTCCTGGGGCGAAAGCTCAGCCCACAGCAAGGTCTGGATTTGTTCTAGACTCCCTTCATGAGCAAGTCGCCACACTTCTCAGAGGAGGCCCAGGCTCTGGATTCTCTGTCGTCCCTTTTCAAAGATGGATCCTATGGGAGTTAAACTTCAAACATAAGTCTGAGAAGACGTGGCTAACCAAAGGTAGAAGTGTTGAAGCAAACAGCTGCACCAGCAAAGTCTACCGCACGGCGCGCTAGAGGAAAATCCTGCCACTGGCCACGCTGCCCAATGCAGTTCTGTCAACCTAACCAGGACTGGACCTGGGACTGGAGGGAAGTCAATAAAAAGGAAAGGAAAAAAGTGAAAGAATTCCAGGCTCACACATGGAAGAAACAGTGAAAGTCACCTCTGACAACAACAACAAAAGGCCTGCTCACCAGGAGGAGGCACCGTTGGTGAGCAGGGCACCCGCAGGAAGGAACCCACCGAGAGTGAGGAGAGAGGATGTCCAGGCTTCACGTCAGCCAGCCTGCCAGGCTTCAGGACAAGAGGAGCATCTGTGTTCACAGGTTGACCTAGACATTTTCCGAAACAGAGGAATTTCTAACTTCACCTTGATTCGTGTGCAATGGAAGATACCACGACCAAAGGATGAGCATGTGAGAAACTCTACCCAGAGGGAATAATGAGGCTGGGAATAAAGTACCTGCCACTCCCCGGTCCCCCACACATGAGTACTCAGAAGGCCTCTCTCATTCCTCTTCAGAATTTGGTGTTTTCCCCCAAAATAACACGACTAATAACGAATTAAGTCATGTTGATTTCATGCTGCACCCAGCTTGGGATTTCCTACAATGTGCATTTACTCAACAGCAGAGCGTGGGCTTGAAGCCAGAGATATAGGATATAGATATAGATAGAGATAGAGGTTGCCAGGGGATTGTTCCTAAGAGGTAAGTTCAGGAGAGCATCCTTGGGGCCCAGAGCTCCGAGCACAGCCCCTCCTGGCAGAATGGGATCCTGGCTTCCACGCCAAGAGAAGGTCCTCGTGAATTTCATGGATGGGAACTTCCCGCAGCTCTCGCGGATCCCTCCACATTTCTCAGAAATGCTTGGCAGGTTTTCTGTCTTGCACATGAAAGTTACTCCCAAGAAATGCCTTCGAAAGAAAACACACATGACTTGCCTGGAGCATCTAAGTCCTTAATCTCTTCCTATCATTAGATCAATGTTCAGTTTCCTCCTTGCTAGTGAATTAAGAGTCAATCTTTTTTTTTTTTCTAAATCTCTTTTTCCAAATCCTTAGACTTTGCTTCCAAACATGTTTTAATGTCCCCACATTTGCCTTTCCTATTAGAACTGAGATCTTTTTTTATTCATTTACATCCAAAAGGATTATGGAGACCCTAGAATATCTCAGACACAGTAATAGATGCTGGCAATATAGCATAACAAAAAGATGAATCTCTTCCTCATAGAACTTACAGCTTTTGCATTCATAGCTCTAATTTCTTAGTTTTACCAATTATACTTTGTAAAAAATTATAATTGGTTCTTTTATTAATGAATTTAATTCTCTTATTAATGAATATCTGCTCTAAGTTCTGTGGGGGAAATCTTCAGTTTTGTTTTTAAGGTGTTTCAACTGATTGGATGAGGCCCACCTACATGGCTAACTACAATCTACAATCTCGTTTTCTTTCTCTCTCTCTCTCTCTCTCTCTCTCTCTCTCTCTCTCTCTCTCTCT